GTAAACCCTACAACTGGATAAAGTTGATCAAATCATGAAAGGCAATGGAGGAATCTAGCTAGCACAATTCAACTTTCCCTTCCTAAGTATTCTGTGGTCTCTTTTCTATCATATGAAAAAGTTAACAGTTTCCCTCATTTCACTGTCTTCAGTTGATTTGTTTGTTTTCTTTCCTAACGAGCTTAACTATTGTTGGCAACAAATGTGAGGGGCATATATAAGGTGTACTGTGATTAAAGACGTCATTTAATTAGTATTATAAATGTAGAGTATTGCTTGAATATATCATTACAGTAAGTGCAAGTGCCTATAAAACATCATTCTATGGTCTTCTGTTCTTCCACCTTGGAGGGTGCCTTGTTCATATAAAAAATGAAGTTCAGTACCTTTAGTACTTTTTTCGGTTACAAAGATCAACAAAGAACAAAAGTAATACCAAACAATCGTTTTAAAAACACCCCAACAATGCTATGCACTACGAACATGTATGAGTGAAAAATTTCAAGCATTGAAGTATGACAGTCAATTTGCTCTTCATAACTAGCAAACGGCTTATTTCTGACAGCTTTGGAAACTCTGTATCTCCCCTTTCAAAGAGATGTATATCCCGTGAAAATTAAAACATTAAAAACATAAGATGGCTAACCAGCAACAGGTTTTTCCATTGTACATGTAAGTGTTTTATAGGATCAGTTTAGTCAGATTTTCGTCACATATTTTTTTACGTTTAAAGCATCAGTTTATTTTAATCATAACAGTATAATGAGATCCCCTATTTTAAGACATATATAGTAGTCATGTGTACGAGAAAGACAGCAAATAAAAATAAAAGTATACTCAACTAAAGTGTTCTTGTGTAGACTGAACTTCAAACTCATTGAAGAAAAGTTGATTTCATGATTCAGATTTTAGTTATAGAAATATGTAGTACCTCTTTACAAGGTTGCAAAAGCAATGCCTTTTAAAAATTTTAAAATAGTACATGCCAAAAAACTTAAAAGATGGAATTTAAAAAAAAAAATGCTAAACTATGGCATATCTATTCGCTGTGATCTTAATAATGTTGCTTTACGAGTTGATTAACAATTGCAAAATAGTGAGAATTAGTGTTCAACAACAATCTCATCAGTTTGATTTCCCGCTCAAAACGCGGGTTGTAAACTATTTGCTTGCGCGGCTCCACATCGATTAGAGTTTAGATGACTGGGATGTGAAAATTTACCAATGTGAGTTTTCTTTTTTGCTTTGGTTTCTTGTGTGGCTTTCACGAAGTGTAAACCACGTAATGTCATGATCCAAGATATTTATTCCTGGCTGTCACGGTGAAAAGAGCGCTTGTCACGGGGTTTACTATCGTCGAGGATAGGATCCAGTCTACGTTCGGCTAAGTTACGTAAGCTTTAAAGTTTCAGAAAGCGGCCATCTCGTATTTAAGGCGCCATAAATACGAAATGTCGTATGACACGTTGTCGAACATCGTTTTTTATCTAGTTATTCGTTCATCTTTGTTGCTTTGATTTAACATGCCGGCTTTCCTACAGTCGGCTTGTCTTCTAAGTGCGGATTACAGCGAGGAGTTGTGCTCTCACAAGCCAACTAATCACGGTCTGGACCTTCGATGCAGGTTGCACCACATCGAAACTTAGGAGTCATTATTGACTCTCGCAAGCCGACATTTAACGTCTTGGATCTACTCAGCAGACCTGTACTAGACCAACTACCGGAAAGTATTTAAAAGCCTCTGAAATTATTTGAAAGAAAAATAGATTCTCCTGCAGTGCTTGTGTTTTCCTTGCTGTTGTTGCTGTCGAATCAAATTAGACGAACTATTCATACGCAGTTGACAAGAGTCTGCTAGCCCACGATTTCGTCAGAAGTACGTAATATGGGAATCTCTGTTGAAAATCACCAATCAAAAATTGGCTCTCATGACAATTTCCTTTGGAGAAAAGATGCTTTGTTGCGTATCGTTTTTGGAATATAATGCTAATGATGTTTTAGATGAATATCTTTTGATTGGCAACATTGAAACAAGTTGTTGGACAACACGAAATGTGGAATGAAGTAAGTGTTTTGGTTTGCCTAACCTGAAACTGCGGTTTGTCGTTAACATGAAAACCTTGGTGCTTAATGACTATTGCGATTGATCGCAAACTCTGGGGAAGTAATATATTGAAACTCAGTAACAAAGTGGTTTCGCTTTTGCTTGAAATACGAATAGGAGCCTAGTAGTTTAATTTTGCAATTGAAATGAGCTCGATATTATGTTTTCCAACTAATGCTCAAACAAAAACTTGGATATTTTTATGTAAATCGATGAACACTGACAAAATTGCATTCCTGAGTAAGAATTCAGCTGAGGGACAAATTTGGATAGCATACATATCATTTAGTCAATATTTAGTCAATATTTAGAATACCAAAGAACACTTAACTTAAGTTTGCTTAGACTTTATCGAGTTTATATGAAGACAGTTCAATGGAACTGGCATGTGTCACGCTTATAGTTTGAGCTACTCGATGTGGATTAGATAACCCTTCATTTAATGTCTCCACATAACTTATTTTGGTAAACACACTGGCATGAAATTACAATTTCAATATTAAGAATGATACCATCATGCACCTGCCATACATTGAACCCTGTTGTGTTTAAGTTCTGTCTCTGATTACTGTTCCTGAAATCTATTATGGTGACACTCTATCTTCATTGAACTTTCAATTAAATAAAACCTCCAGGTCAAATTGTAAATCTTATTGGGTTAAAAATTATAAGCAACGTTAATGTAATGTTACTTCAGAGTATTACTCGACATATGATTCATTAAAATATTGCTTGTGTTCCGATCTTGTTATCCACCGGCCTGTCTTTTTTTCCCTTAGATTCTTCCATTCGCAACCCCATATCCACCTACCTCAATTAAATTTTTCTGTCTTTTTTATTGAAAATACAGTCCTACATAAAATAATTAAAGTAAACTTTTTGCTTTCAACCAACTGAAAATAGAACTTTGTGCCCTAATGGACATTAGAAACCTATGCTAGCATTGTGTTATTTCACATGTATGTATTGTCGAACATTAGCAAAACATGGCTAATGGCTTCTAGTGTAGATTACATCATTTCCCGAATGTCCCGGCCCTTTTGAAAAGTTTGTCCTTGTGTACTGGTACACAAAATGCCAAAAATATTCATATGAAATGCTTCCCTAAAGTTAAATTCACATCACTTGCCTTGGAAAAGACAATCAACCTACAAACCTCGGAACTCAATTCAACTTCGTTACGTAAACAAAATCATGACTGAGATGATGCTGACGTCTGTTTTAGTTCCTTTAATCCTCAGGTTACACGTGCAACCTTTACTGTCAAAATCAGACTTCCATAACAAAGTTTGGCCAATAACCCTCATCTTGAAAATGAACATTTCAGGACTATTGTATGCTACTTATCTTGTTTTATTGATAAACAGGAACAATATTGAATTTAACTGTAATCAGATATTAGCTCTTCTGATAGAAACTTAATAAGACACCAGACAATAAAAAGCAGCTCAATTTCGTAAGCCACACATGTACGCACTGCAGACATATTTTTTCTTTGAATTTGGAGTTTTGGAGTATTTTTTTTACAGCTTTGTAGTTTCTGATAAACCCCAAATGCCCCCTCCCATACTTCCTGAGGAGTGCATCCATGAGAGCACCAGTCAGTTGTGCTACATGCCATCTCACTGATTTCAATGAAACTTTAAAGGGTCTACCCCAAATCGCAAACAGACAAATTGGTTTCTGTTTTGGTTATTTAGGGAGGTGGAGAGAGATCACCCCTGGTTTTTCTTGGTTTTCACCAAGGAAATTGCTTCAAAATAGGTGAAATGACTATGGAGCTCTCACCGCTATGGTATTCAACCGATTACTCTGAGAGTTTGCATACATATTGTTACAATCTTTAATGAATGTACGACGCAAGAATCAGTCAATTGGATTGACGGCTTCTCAATGAACAGAGGAAAATAAATGAATGTGTTCGATTCATCAAAATATTTGATAACTTTTAAGTCAAATATCTCTCCTTACCAGAAAAAATACAGTACTAATGTTAATTCCCCTTCTATTCAATCATTTATTCTCTGAAAGCCATCAAAAAAATATTTGGGCACAGCCGTATTTTTGTCTGGGATGCCTTTTAAAATCTGCGACTGATAAGCTTCTATTAAGTGCCGCTCCCGCTAAGAGCGGTCCTCTCGACTTCCCGTCAGAAAAAAGTTTTCTTTTATTTTTCGCCCATGAAAAGGTGGATGGTCGCAGGGAAATGTCGAGTCTGTCGCTCAAAACCGTTGTGGTCCATAAGAGCGTAACATCATTAATGACGGAAACAAATTTGCAGAAAGAGGGTTAGTTCATCGGGTTCCGTATACTAAATCTCGGGCAAACTGCAAGAATTATTTCAGAGTGTATGAGTGTTGTTTTGTAAATATAAATGCTGCAACCTATTTTAACTTGTTTTTGTGTCCTTTTAAGCAACGCGATATGTCTGTTATGACCAGAGTGCCAAATTTTATTCTTTAATTTTGATCTTCTCCACACTGTGCATAATTCATGACCTGATATTTCAACGTAAATTATCGAGAAGGCGCCTTCCGATCACCTTTGTCTACTTTGTAAGTCACGCAAGCGCGCAAGCGTTACGACCGATCACGTTTACGCAACGTTTTAGGACTGTGAGAGATTATTCAGCGTTAATTGATTTCCGGTTGATTTTTTGCGATAAGTGACAGATGATTGAACAATAGGATCATATTATATATTTAAAATGAGAGAGACCAGAGCGAAGGACAGAGAACGGTGAGAGAGAGCGGGAGATTAAGTTGATTTTATAAAATAAAACGTGAAGTTTCGGAACATAGCAGATTCTTTAGTCTCATTTCCGACACAGTGGCACCTCCGACGGGACGCGCGAAGCATGGAGGAACTAACCAAAGAAGCAGAGGCTAAATTGCAGATGTTGCTGTACACTAATGGAAAAACACGTGGCATTGTGGAAAAGGGAAACCTAGGAGCGGTTGCGCGACATCGCGACAACCTACAAGCATTAGTAAAAGAAGTAGACGCGCTTAAACTAAAGGTTGAACAGACCATGTTCAAGGCCGGGAAAAGTGCAGAAGACGTTGGAAGTTGGAGCAGCAGCATTGAAGAACCGATCGCCGAAGCTGACGAAGAAGTTTCGCGACTAGAAAAATGGCTCGTGGAGACGAATGGAGAGATCGAACATCGAAAGCACAAGGACGAAGAAGAAAGGAAAGCCCGTGCTCGTGAAGAGGAGCTTAAATTCGAAAGAGAGCAAATGGAGATGAAGCTAGAATTCGAACGCCAACTGGAAGAGACCAAGGCAAAACAGCAACCTGTTGAGAAGGCCAATCAGATTGAACAAAGGACAACAAAGCTACCGAAACTACAGATCACAAAGTTTAATGGGACGTATGAAGCATGGCTGCCGTTCTGGAACAAATTTCAAGCTGAAATTGATAAAGCAAACCTTGCATCTGTGACCAAGTTTGCATACCTAAAAGAGCTGGTAGATCCAAAGGTTCGAGCGGAGATAGACGGACTGCCTTTCACAACAGAGGGCTACGAAAGGGCAAAGAATATCCTCATCGGCGAATATGGGAAAACGAGCGAGATCGTGAATGCGTACGTCCAGAACATCGCGAATTTGCCTGTCATTACAGGAACACAACCTGCGCCTGTCCACGAATTTTACAAGAAGCTCGTGTACAATGTGCAATCTTTGGAGACACTGGGCAAATTGAAAGACGTCACTGGAAATGTAAGGAGTGTGCTCGACAAACTAAAGGGTGTAAAAGCAGATCTAGTGAGAGGACAAATGGACTGGCAGGACTGGGACTTCCCACAGTTGATAAAAGCTTTGAAAAGTTGGAAGGAAATCAACCCCATTGGGAGCGGCGCGGATAATGCGGGAAGCAAGGTGCTAAATTCCGCGATCGCGAGAAAACATTTCACGCAAACGAAACTACGCCAACACAAAGAGGGTGCGTCTACTGTGACGCAACTGACCACAGAGCTGTGAATTGCGACAAGTTTGTGACAGTTGGAGACCGCAGGAAACAATTAGGACTGAAACAGCTTTGTTTTAACTGCACCGGAAGTCGACACCGTGCTTCTGAGTGCAAATGCCGTTCTGGCTGCCAGATCTGCAGTCGAAGACATCATACATCGATTTGTGACAAACATACATCGCGAGACCAGCTGATGACCACAACGAGCGCAGAAAGGAAAGGAGTGGTGTATCCTATGGTAACAGTTGACGTGAACGGTGTTAAATGCCGAGCATTGTTGGATACAGGAGCCGGAAGTTCCTACGCTTCATCAACGCTTCTGAACTGTTTACATTTGCGCCCTATCCGTCAACAATTCAAGCGCATTGAAATGATGTTTGGTACTTCAAACAAAGCGATAGACATCTATGGCCTACAAATTCGAAGCGTTGATGGTAAATTCACCTTAGAAGCCGAAGTAAACAAAGTCGACCGCAATGAGTTGTTGACATTGGAAAACCCAAAATGCGCAGAAATCGTAGCTCAGTTTTCTCACTTGAAGGGCGTAACCACAAATGATAACGACAAGAAAGCGATGTTGCCTGTTCATCTGATCCTTGGAACAAACGAGTACGCTAAGATCAAAACAGGGGCAAGACCAAGAGTTGGGCGCTCGGGAGAACCAGTAGCAGAATACACGAAGTTCGGCTGGACGATCTTGTCACCTGGAACAGAGTTGGATCTCAGCAACATGTTGTTAACGCAGACCTCCGCAATTGATTACGAAGAATTGTGCAAGTTAGACGTCTTGGGGTTGAAGGACAATCCAAGTGGAGACCAGGAAACCGTTTACGAAGAATTCAAAGAGCAACTAACTAGGAGTTCAGAAGGCTGGTACGAGACGAACTTGCCCTGGAAAGGAAATCACCCCCCCTACCGAACAATCACACTGGAAGTTTAAAACGTCTCAAAAATCTCGTGCGGAAGTTAGAGATACAAGGCGAGCTGGAGAGGTACAACGACATTATCCAGACTCAACTGAGTCAAGGGATCGTAGAACACGCTGACGAGGTGGTCAAGGACGGAAAAAAGTTCTACATTCCTCATAAAGCGGTCGTGCGCGAGAATGCAGAATCTACAAAGATACGCATTGTTTATGATGCTTCTGCAAGAGCTAATGCAAGTGTCCCCTCACTCAACGAGTGCCCCGAAATCGGCCCTCCACTACAGAACCAGCTTTGGAACGTGCTGGTACGAAATAGGTTCTATCCCGTGGCAATAGCTGGCGACTTAAAACAAGCATTTTTGCAAATTCGCGTCCGAAGAGAAGACCGAGATGCCTTACGCTTTCATTGGATAAAGGATCTGGCAAGCAAACAAGTAGATACCTTGCGATTCACTCGAGTACTTTTTGGTTTGGCACCGTCTCCATTCCTCTTGGCCGCAGTTATCAAAGAAGATCTACAGCGATACAAAATGGTGAACCCGGAATTAGTGGAGGAGATAGAGCGCAGTATGTACGTGGATGATTTAATCAGTGGTGGGGAGACAACAGAACAAGCGTTAGAAATCAAGATGACAGCCACGACCATCTTTGGTGAGGCGACTTTCAAGCTGCACAAGTGGCATTCCAACGATCGGGAACTAGAAGTTGAAACTGCGACTGTAGATGAAGAAAGTCAGAGTTACGCCAAACAACAACTGGGAACCAGAAAGGGCGAATCAAAACTGCTAGGAGTCCCCTGGGACAAAGAAAAGGACGAAATTCAAGTCAGCTTCCCGATTTCAACCGCTGAGCCGACAAAAAGAGGTATCCTTGGAAAAGTCGCAAAATCTACGATCCACTCGGTCTGGCTTCACCCGTGACCCTCTCCGGAAAAATGCTCTACAGAGACGCCTGCGACACGAAGATCGCGTGGGATAGGCCCTTACCAAGTGACTTACAAGCCAAATGGAAGAAATGGGAGCAAGGACTTCCAGAGCACGTGAACGCGCCAAGAAATGTCGTCAAGCATTTAGGGAAGATATTATCAATCGACTTACACACATTCAGGGGACGCAAGCGGGAAAGGAGTTGCAGCCGCGGTTTATGCAGTGGTGGAGCAACCATCAGGCACGAATCGAGGCCTCGTGACGGCAAAGTCGAGGCTCGCGAAGAAAGGACTCACGATTCCCCGATTAGAACTAGTGGCTGGACATATGGCTGCGAACCTAGTACAAAATGTGAAAAGAAGTCCTGAAGGGTTTTCCCGTAAGAAGTGTCTATGGTTGGCTGGATAGCACAGTCGCACTGCATTGGATCCGTGGTAATGGCGAATACAAACAGTTCGTGGGAAATCGAGTGAGGAAGATCCAAGAAAAAGAAATAAACTGGAGGCATGTACCAACAGAAGAGAATCCTGCGGACGTGGGGAGTCGGGGAGGAGATGTTAGTAGATTGACAGCTCTTTGGTGGCAGGGACCAAGCTGGTTAGCAAAACCACAGGACTGGCCGCCAGACCTTGTAACGACATCTACTCAAGAATCAAAAGCGGAAGAAGCGAAACAAACTCGCGAGTCGTTTGCTCTAGCAGTAGAGAAAACAGAGAACAACGACGCCTTCGATGCGCTGCTGGAGAAGTACGAGCTGTGGCGTGTGTTGCGAGTGGGTGCTTGGATCTGGAGATTCCTCCACAACATAAGAACCGTCCGTAAACAGAGAATCCTTGGTCCCCTTACCACTGAAGAAATACAGAAACAGACAACGTTCTGGATCAAGCGATCTCAACAACAAGCAAAGTCGAGCCAGAAATTTGAAGAAGACCGTTTACAGTTGAATGTGCAAGGGAACCAAGAGGGAATATTAGAGTGTAGGGGAAGAATTCAAGGCCATTACCCCATCTTTCTGCCAGACTCCTCGCCCTTCACTCGCAAGTTAGTTCACCGATCACATGTCGACACACTGCACGGAGGAGTGGCCCTTACCATGACCAAAGTGCGAGAGCTATACTGGGTACCGCGTTTAAGGGCACTCGTAAAACAAGTTCTCAGAGCGTGTTCAGGCTGCAAGCGTTTTCAGGCCATGGCACTAGCGACGCCGCCTCCCGGACTCCTACCCACTGACCGCACAGAGGGGAGCACCCCATTTGAGGTTATCGGAGTCGATTTTGCAGGGCCCATCAAGTACCGTATCAGAGCCAAAACAGAAGGAAAGGCCTATCTTGCATTGTACGCGTGCAGTCTTACCCGAGGATTATTCCTGAAAGTACTACCAAACCTGGCAACCAGTGAATTCCTAAGAAGTCTAAAACGGCTCATCGCGCGCCGTGGGCGTCCGAAGAAGATATATTCCGACAATGGCAAAACCTTTGTTGGCGCCGAGAAGTGGCTCAAACAAGTTATGCGTGACGAGAAGACACAAGATTACTTAGCACATGAGAACATCAAGTGGCAATTCAACCTCAGCCGCGCCGCTTGGTGGGGAGGACAGTTCGAGCGCCTCATCGCACTGGTAAAACAGCTTTAAACAAGACTATCGGATGCGGAATGTTGACCTGGACAGAGCTGTGTGAAGTGGTACTGGATGTGGAGATTGCTTTGAATAATCGCCCTTTATGTTACGTCGAAGACGAAATACAGTTACCCGTGCTTACCCCTAACTCACTGCTATTTCTTCGATCAAACCAGCTGCCAGAACTGGAACCACACCATCTAAGAGAATTTGATCTGCGTAGAAGAGCTAAATATTTGCGAAGGTGCAAGCAGGCTTTGTGGACCAGGTGGACTACCGAATATTTACGAGGGTTGAGAGAACGACACCGGATGAAACACAAGGGTCAAACCACGCCCTTGGCCAAAGGAGAGGTAGTCATCATCAAGGACGAGGAACGAAATCGCAATAAATGGAAAATTGGAATCGTGGAAGATCTGATTTCGGGACGAGACGGAATCGTTCGAGCTGCCAAACTTCGAGCGGGGAAAGGAACACTTGAACGGGCGGTACAACACCTTTACCCACTGGAGCTGTCCTGCGATCGGGAGAATGTACAGGCTCCTCTACAGCTCAACCCCGTAGCCCCGACATTCAGGCCCAGGAGGGATGCAGCGGTAGCCGCTCGTTATCGCATTCAAGATGCGAACATTGATGCTGATTAGAGATATTTAGGAACACTGAACTGATATACTGGACTAACTTTCTGTTTCGTTCATTGAATTTCAAATTTTATCGAGCGCGCCATTCTAGTGTTTTTCTCCGTTGAGAAAAACAGGGGAGTGTGTGAGAGATTATTCAGCGTTAATTGATTTCCGGTTGATTTTTTGCGATAAGTGACAGATGATTGAACAATAGGATCATATTATATATTTAAAATGAGAGAGACCAGAGCGAAGGACAGAAAACGGTGAGAGAGAGCGGGAGATTAAGTTGATTTTATAAAATAAAACGTGAAGTTTCGGAACATAGCAGATTCTTTAGTCTCATTTCCGACAGGACAACTCGGCATCTAATCTCCATTCAGTTGCTGTGGAAACCTAAAATCCTCAACGTAGAAGATAAACGAACGAAGTTTGAACTGTCAAAAGGAGATCTTGGTCAATTCCAAGAATCATGCAAATGATCTTTGACACGAGCGCAATTGAGCAAATACATGGATTTGCGTTGTTTTTAAGAAGTTGGTGGATGGAAGCTGGAGATATAACCGCGGATTTGAGGCAATCCGTGACCTCATGGGTGTATAAACTATGCACTGATATGCTTTTTCAGCCCGATTAACGCCTGCATTTTGAGAATTCTTTCGTACAAAGTAGTGAATTTTTGATATGCAAATTAAGGTCGAAGAGAAGGGTCTCCTCTGATCACGCTGGTATGAAAAATATTTCAGCTGAAGTTTCCATATTTTGTCTGTGAACTAACTGAATACACCTTGTAACTTGTAGCAAGATAGAATTCCGTGTGCTACATTGTTGCAGTTGCTGCGCGCTGGACAAAATCTTTGAAATTGACTCTTTCGATCGCTGTTCACAGGGGTGGTCTGGCCAAAAATAATTTTTGGCTTGTGGCGACGCAAAAAAAGAGAATTGGAGAACAACTATACTATTTTTGAAACATGTGTCCTAAACCCTTTTCACGGGCAGAAAATAAAAGAAAACTTATCTCCGACGGGAAGTCGAGAGGACCGCTCTTAGCGAGAGTGGCACTTAACTACACCTTTCACGCAATTTTGGCTCTAAGTGATCA